GACTAGAAGAAGTGGAGAGATTTTGGATCTATGACCTTCCTTCCAAGCTAAGCACCTTCAATCTTCAAACCTTCCTTTAGAAATGAGCAACATAACCATAGGAATCCACTCAAGGCTCAAGAACACACCAAGAAAACTTAAGGGGAGAATTAGGGTTTTAGTGACAATGGAGGTTGGCAAAGAGGCCAACCAAGAGGACTTAAGGTCTTCAAATAGGGTGCAACACCCTAAAATTAGGGTTTCCTTCCCAGCTGCCAACACGTCGTGTTAAAATACCACAACACGCCATGTTGGTTCATTAATCTACGCATTTCTTAAAATCTTGACACATCATGTTGGTTCCTCCAACACGTCGTGTCCAACCCAAAGAGGGGCTTTACTCCCAACAATTCTCTTCAAGATTTCAGGTGTTACAGAGGGAAAGGACTTTGGAGCCATATTTTCCTTCCAAAATTTCCTCCAAAATTGGGTGGATTTGGGAAGAAAGTGAAGGAAGTAAAATTTTAAGTTTTATTTTATTTTATTTTCCTAACTAGGGAACACAAAAACTTAAAATTATCCTTTCATTTCCTTCGAACTCGGGAACACGTAATAATGAATATTTTCCTTCCCCTCCCTTTCTTTCTGTCAAAAGTTTCATTCCTTTTCCTTTATTGAATTTACAAAAAACCCAGTAACAAGGCGTTAAGAAGCCTTAAGAATGTTGCTCCAGCCTTCATGGAACCCTAATCTAATTTGTAGGTTACCATGCACAACCCAACCATTGAGCCCAAACCACCTTCTAGCCCAAACCACCTTCTAGCCTACGAGTAATCACTAATCCATCACCTTTTGGGCTTTCATGATCCATGCATGGATCAGAAAGTTGAACCATTTTCCTTTACTTTTTGCTATTTTTTAATTTAAATTCTATCTTATTTAGATAAAATTGCAAAAATGGTCCCAATGGTTGGCCAAATTTTGCAGTTTCGGTCCAAAAAGTTTTGGTGGTGCACCAGGTGTGACAACCTGAAATTTCTATCGTGTACAATAGATTAATTCAATCAAAGTTAGACTCATTTTGATATCTTTTAGCACTGTTTAGGGTATATTTGAGTGTTCTAAACCTAGTACAATCAAGGTAGGAGCCTAAAAATGGGATAACACGATGCATATCAAGCAAACTCGGGCCAAACACTCCAATACATGGAGTGTGCGGCCACACATAGGTGTGTGCAGCCGCACACCCATTCCAGCCATACACCCCCACCTATATATATGACCCTTAGTCATTTTTGAACAATTTTTCCACTCCTTAAAAGCTGGAACACGTTTCTCTCTCAAGTACCATCCAAATCTTCATCTTGATCTTCATAAAAGTAAGTAATTCTTCCTTTTGATTAGTTAATGCATGAATTTAACTAGCCTTCCCCTCTACTTTGATCGCTGAAAACATCCATTTTAGTCAAGAACACCAAGAACACACACTAGTTTTGGGACCATAATCACCCTTTCAAGCCTCTATAATGTTTATACACTTATCATAACTTGTTTTATGCCAAGAACACTTGAAGATATACATGAAAAATGCCATTTCTCATGATCTTCAGGTGTATACGGCCGCACACACCATGTGCAGCCATACACACCCTTTTTAGGTCATATAATGACAATGAACTCCATATAAGGCTAGAGCATGAAGTAAGAAACCTTCCTAGATGAGTCATAAGGCCTTAAAGTACGTTTTGGCACACTTCATGGGGAGTGTGCGACCGCACACACACCCTGGCCGCACACACACATGCGGTGTATTTTGACCATACACTCCCTTGTATAGCCATGTACCCCTTATATACAATCATATATGGTTGTAACACTTGAATATAAGTGTTTACTAGTCCCTAAGGTGGTCCTAATTCAATAATTAGTTGTTACAAGCACTATATGTATACATATATATATATATATATATATATATATATATCATTATATGGTTAATAGGATTCGTTTGTGCTCAAGTCCGCAATTGACACTCAACATCCTAAACTGATCTTACAGTCGCATCACTCACTACAAGTGAGTTAATACCCCTTAACTAACCTTTTAAATGATTTTAAATGCTTTTATTGGGGGGGGGGGGGGTGGGAATACAAGTTGAAACATTATAGTTATTATATCAATCACATGTGATTAATAACTATCAAACAAATGGATTTACTATGCTTTTAACTGTTTTATCAAACAAACTACTTCAAACTGCTTATCAAACTCTTCTACATGTTAAACTCTTTATCAAATTCACTTTTAGATATCAAACCTTTTCTTTTACATCTTTCAAACTTATATATTGTCAAAACCATGTCGAATACGTATATAGTTATATAAGGAAGGTTTGAAGGACTTAGGACTAATAACTCACTTTCTCTCTTGTTCCTTGTTTGGTTGTAGACTTAGAGTACCCTGTTGTTTGTCTGAGTGTCGTTGGATCCTTAGTTATATAATATGTATATGTGTATAGATATAAAGGCTTTTACCTCAATTCAATACATTCAGTCATACAAACAATTCTTCTAGTAAACTATAATAGGTATAGTTTAGGGATATACTACTGATTACTTCTAGTTCAATGAAGCATACAAAGAGTCAGTTCATTCATGAGTCAATACTTACTATTATGAGAAACTGTACAACTATACTATGATGAGAAACTAATAGAACTTACTATTTTGAGAAACTATACAAAACTACTATGAAGAGAAATAGATAGAGAATACTATAACGAGAAACAATACATACAATACATCTAGTACATACAATACATATACAATTATACTATAACATAAATGTGAACCACTATTTCGGAGCATGTCATCACTGCCATGGCTCGATTTGTATCCAGAATCTCCTGGAGGGAGAGCATGAATTTGCATATAGATTTATACTGGATTGACTATCCTACACCTTGTTGCTAGCTACAGTAGGACATGCAGGTCTTCGGGTGCCAAATGTCATTACTTCTGACGTCTTTCATCGTCGTGTTTTTATTCGATAGTATGGTACAATCAAATCACATTATACCTTGATAAAAATCCGATTTAATGTACTTAGTACAACAATAGTTACTATAATACAACACTACAATACTACATTATTTTTCCATTGCATTCACTTTGTGATATTCTCACATAATTGGAAATGTATAAACTATATTTTGTTAATGATAGTCACACTTGTGAAAATTACACTCTTTTACAAGAAACGAACATACAAAACAGTCAGGCCTTGGTAGAAGACTACTTTTAGAAGAAAATATAATATTTTTTAGGAGATTCAAACATTTACAAACATTTACAAACTCATACTTCAAACACTGTTACAAATATTTGATACAAACAATGACACTAAAATGCTTATGAACTCAACAACTTTAAAGCTGATAAACTCTTTCAAAATAACTTGTATTCTCATGTCATCAGTAGACAGATACCAATGCCAGCTTTTGAGAAGATGGAGCACATTCAAAACTCATCTTTTATTTTGATTCATATTTTTAGTGTCTTATAAACTATACAAAACACTTGTATTAAAATACATTATTAATGCAATGGATGATGTTGTTTACTTGTTTACTATTATTTTGTGTTGTGATACTGTACATGACGTCCTCCACCCCATAACGTTTTCCGCCGTTCCGATTTTAGGGTGTGACACCAGGGGTCCAAAATTGGATCTTTTATCGGTTTTGGTCCCTATACACTTAAAAAGACAATTATGCCTTTATAATTTATATTTTTCATTTTTTTAATTACTAAATTACATAAATTAATTATAACATGGTCCCTTCATCTCCAACTCCACCCTCTATCAGTGTTGTTTTGAACTACCTTCGGCAACCGACATTCTCGTCGGAGTTCACCCAAATCACCACCACCACCTCTGCCATAGATCTCAAATTCCCCATCCACACCGTCCTCTCTCCTCCTGTTTTGTTGGAATCAAACCCCTTAAAATCACCACAACTACCTGCCACATCACCTGTAATCATCGTAGAAGCTCACCACCATTAAAACCACCATTAATCATCTAACTTGCTACAGCAAAAAACGAGATCCTTATGCCACCGGATTACAACGATACTGGAAACAAAAACCTTCATTGCATCCGCAGCCTCCATCGCCATCTGTTAAGCCTCACACACCACCATAAACCTCCACCATTCCACTGAAAACACTCCTTCCACCATCAAGCTTCACCCCAGTTGAAAACCACAACATAGCAACACCTCATCTAGCCTCCTACAAACGACATCGGTGGGGTTATGGACCGAATTGATCAGATCAAAGCAGACATGTGAGAGAGAGGGAAGGGGAAAATGGTGATGGGGTTGGTGGCTACAGGTGAAGATTGGCAGCAATGGAGGTCAAAAACTTATGGGTTTTAACAGGATTTGGCGGAGGTAGTGTGCAGCAGTAATTAGATCGATTCTCATATTGTTGAGCCACAACCTCCTTCGGTCTCGTAGATGCTAATGGAAGACGGAGGTAACATGGAGTTTTTTTTTTTGGATTTTCCATGGCAGATCAAGTGGTGGTGTCTGACGGAAACGAAAAGAAAGAGAGAGATATTGATCGGAGACGGGGAAGAGAGAAAGAGGGTAAATGGGTTAGTAAGGGGGTGATATTTTTTTAATTAAAATTAATTAGAAAAAAAAAATTAATAAATGGCATAATCATCATTTCAGGTTGGCTATGAACCAAAATCATACAAAAATGTCAACCATAGGAACCAAAACCACATAAGCAATACGAAATTGGACCACCGATGCATCATCAAATTTTTTTGGACCAAAACCCGAAAACCGTAGAATTTTGCCAACCATTGGAACCATTTTTGCAATTTTGTATCTTATTTATCAATGAGATGGCCAACATAGCCAATAAAGAATGGCTAATAAACCCTCCTTGCATCGACAATAAAAGACAATCCATAACTTAAAAGTTTGGTGCCAAAACTTAAAAATACACAAATACACGCTCAATGTGTAAAACAAGGGAGGTTTTAGAAAAGCAAGAAAAAATAGGGAGGCGATGTGTAAATTTATATAAACAGCTTCGTCTTTGCGTCTTTGCCTATTGGCTTTGCTTGTGAAGTTCTTTACAGAGAGAGAGAGAGAGAAAGAGGGGGGAAAGAACAAGAGCAGCAACCACATTCTTTATTCCTCTCACAATTTCCCCCAAATTGCTCTAACTGAAATACATTCTGGGTTCGAATCCTTTTCTTCTTTCGATCAAATCTAAACAAACTTACCCTCAAGGTACAAAGATCAGTCGTCTAATTTCACATTCTTTATGAAGTTATGAATCTTTAATCAGGTGCGTATTCTTATCTCATTATGTTCACTGATATGAGGATCTTGAACGGATGATTTCAACCGTCGCTTTTAAGTTTATTTTATCAGTATTGCATGAACTTGTTGATTTTCTTTTCCGAGCGATTCTTTGTTTGTTGTTGATAATCATAAATCTTTGAATATGGTTTGATTTTCAAGTGTTATCGTACAGAACTGTGATTGAACTGATCACTTGTAGAATAAAACGATAATGTACCTGAAATGTTCGTTAAGCTTATAATATTCTTCCCCAACCTTGTAATTTTGTTGAGTTTACGCAGAAATGATGATTAAATTCATATTCAAGAAAGTTGCAGATTATCGTGCCTAACTCGATCATGATTGAATCGGTGTAGATGGATTCGATTATCGACGGAGTTCGTTCTTTGCCACCCAGCCATAACTCTGCAACCATGTCAACCTTCAATCCGCGTTCAAGAAGCCGACCTCCTCATCCGCGCTCTGCAAAACAATCAAACCGAGAAATATCTCCATCTTCATCCCATTTCTTACCAGATATTTCCACAATGTCTGTTGCAAGTTCTTATAAAACCTCCAAGGATTACATCGAAAGGGAAGCCATACCATCTACCCACTCAAAACCTAATTCTGCACCCGATAAACGGAAAACAGATGTTCAATCGGCGAGAGATTACTTCCATAACCACATCCTAGAGGTGGAAGCTAAATTCGGAAGCAAACAGCCCATCAATCCACCAATCGGCATGAACACAGATCGTGGTCATGGTCATGGTCATGGTCCTGGTCCTGGTCATGTTCCTAGCGCAAGCCCACAAAACAGTTTCTATTCCGTCACACAGTTTTCAGAAGCCAAAGAAAGCTTCACCAGCACAGAGGTGAGCGAGTTTGCAAGCACAATCGGTAAGGATGACGAAAGTGGTCAAATCAGTGTTCAAACTAGCGATTATCTTGAAAGCAACAAGACAAGCAGTATATACAGAGAAAGCACTGGAAGCGATCTAAGCGATGATAGTACCTCAAGCAGTTTCAATAGCGCCATTTTCAAACCCCACAAACAAAACGACACAAGATGGGAAGCAATTCAAATCGTAAGATCCAGAAACGAAACTGGTATGATAGAAATCAGAAACTTTAGACATCTAAAGAGACTGGGATGTGGAGACATCGGAAGTGTTTATCTTTCTGAGTTGATCGGGACACAGAACTACTTCGCCATGAAAGTGATGGACAAAACTGCCCTCGCAAGCAGGAATAAGCTCTTGAGGGCACAAACGGAAAAGGAAATCCTTCAATCTCTTGATCACCCGTTTCTCCCCACTTTATATGCACATTTTGACACCGAAAAGTTGTCATGTTTAGTCATGGAGTATTGTCCTGGTGGCGATTTGCATGCTCTCCGCCAAAAACAACCTGGAAAGTTCTTCCCGGAGCACGCAGTCAGGTTAGCAATTGATCTCCTTCTCCATTTTTGAATTTGACTTCAAATCCTTCATGGTTAAAATCTTCCATATTTATGTAGGTTTTATGTAGCAGAAGTGCTCCTTGCTTTGGAGTATCTGCATATGCTTGGGATCATTTACAGAGACCTTAAACCAGAGAATGTGTTGGTGAGGGAAGATGGTCACATAATGCTCTCGGATTTCGATCTCTCTTTGAGATGTGTTGTGAACCCAAAACTGGTTAGATCCATGAGAACCACCACCACCGCTGTGGAACCGAAAACATCCGATTCCCGTGATCAGCCTGCCTGTATCGAACCATCTTGCATGGTTCAGCCATCCTGTATGCAACCCTCCTGTTTCAGTCCCCGTTTCATGAGCAAACCCAAGAAAGAAAAGAGATCGAAACCAAAAACAGAGATTTACAACCAAGCGATTCCATTACCTGAGCTGATTGCAGAGCCGACAAATGCCCGGTCGATGTCGTTTGTTGGGACCCACGAGTATCTGGCACCGGAGATCATCAAGGGTGAAGGGCATGGGAGTGCTGTGGATTGGTGGACTTTTGGGATTTTTCTATACGAGCTTTTGTTTGGTAAAACTCCGTTCAAAGGGGCGAGTAATCGGGCGACGTTGTTCAATGTGGTGGGGCATCCGTTGAGGTTTCCAGAAACGCCGTCGGTTAGCTTTGCAGCGAGGGATTTGATTAGGGGGTTATTGGTGAAAGAACCGCAGCATCGGCTTGCTTACCGGAGAGGGGCGACGGAGATTAAACAGCACCCGTTTTTCCAGAGTGTGAATTGGGCGTTGATCCGTTGTGCCACTCCGCCGGATATTCCGATTCCGTCGCCGGAGAGAGTAGAGGTAAAGCCTACTGGTAGCTACTTAGAGATTGATTTCTTTTAGGTCTCAATTGTGTAATGTGTAATGTGTTAGTGTAAAGAACCTCATGGAAATATGCATCTTGTCACTTGTGTGTGTTGTAGTCGAGTACTCAAGTCTATGTATATGTGGTTGGATGGAGCCATGGAGGCTTGTGCCATTAGGTGCACACAACCCCATAAAAAGTTTTTTTTTTTTTTCAAAGAAAAACTCTTGAAATCAGATTTGTGAGAAACGGACCGGTTTGAACCGGAAAGGAAATAAATAAACCGTGTATAAACGTTTTTGTTTTTAGATCACAGCACATATCATTCTTTTATTTAGGTAGAAACTTGTCCTAATATTGGTAGTTTTGAGGTTCAAGTTAATGCAAAATGAAAGAAATAGTAGAATTGTATCTTTGTTATGACCAATTTTCCATGAAAAAGAGTAATATCTACAATGTTCTAGAAGTGTTCTCTACGCAATTGTTTCAAATAAAATTGAGGACAATACCAATGAGTAGTTTGGAAGGAATACGTTGAAACTGTAGAATCTTGGTAAGAAATATAATATCTGCAACATGAGCAATGATAGGAAATGGCATCACACCCATCTTAATGTTCGTCTTATGATGAAGTACAAGATTGGAAGCTAAACAAGAAGTACCAAGATTATTGAAACACAAGGTGAGGGATGAATTAATGGTAACCTAAACTCATAAAGCAGAGAAATACGCCAACAAAGTTTAGTTGTAAACTGAGCTAAAACACAAGACAATGGTTTAGCAACTGACTAAGCAACAATAAACAAGATTGCAAACTAAGAAACAAACTGTAACCACTAGTAGACAATTGATTAGCAGGACAACCAACTCAATCGACATCAGAAAAAAGCAAAGAGAAGCTAAACGATTTTTGCTTCCCCGATCCTTGCATGCTCCTCCCTGTGAGAGGTCCGAAGTATGTGCTTTAACTCTGCACCAATGGCAACCAGTAGGCGACTAAGGAAATTATGATGTTGTTTGTGTTTTGAAAATGTTAAGTGTATTTAGTTTTTTCCTACAAAATTTTGTTTTTTACAATTTGCAATCTATATGAACATATCATTCTTTTTTAAACTCAAAAGAATGTTTTATTGATTGTATATTTATAATAGTGAAACTAAATTCATACATCTAACACAACAAAGTTTTACGAAATAATTCATTTTAGCATTAACGGGGCAACAATTCGATATCGTAAATGAGTCACATATTCTCAGTCTACTCCATTATCACGTGGTTAAATATCTTCCTCCTCATTATCATCTTGTACATGATTATTTTGAAGTGGCACATTCACTTGATCGTATTGAGAATTAACTAATCACTAAAACCCTATTTTTGTATATAATTATGAAGCGCTAAACATACAATGATACTGCTTCTTTGTATAGCCAACGAAAATTGAATCATTATATATATATATATATATATATATATATATATATATATATATATATATATATATATATATATATATATATATATATATCAAGGTTGTTAAGAACAGGATCCTACCTAAGATCGTTTTTGGGTTTGCAAGATCGGTATCGTAAGATCCCACAAAATAAAATATAATTTTAATTTATAATTTTTAATAATGAAAAATATTTCAAACATTCAATTTTTCGTTTAAAAGTTATAAAAACTTTAAAATATTAGTCATAAGCTACAATACAAAATTATAATTGGTAAATTGGTAAAGGGTAAAAGACATAAAATGATAAAAAAAAAATTCATTTGCATAAAAAAAATCAAAGGAAGGTAGGATCGGATCGGATCTCGATCCTACGATCTTACAATCTTACCTATGATCCTACCCCAAATACGATCATTTTACGATGCAGATCGTTTTTCATACCTAAATCGTACGATCCTACAATCAGGATTGCGATGTTGACAACCATTATATATATATATATATATATATATATATATATATATATATATATATATATATATATATATATATATATATATAAGTCATGTTATTTTTCATAAAATGTCATTTAGGTCATCGAGAATTCAATATATATATATATATAAGTCATGTTATTTTTCATAAAATGTCATTTAGGTCATCGAGAATTCAAGTCATTTAAGTTATATTTTGCCACCATTAACTAATATTTCAGTTAAATTTCCATCAAAATTATATAAAAGTTGATTTTATAATTGAATTGTTAAATGATTAAAATCAACGTCAATATAAAAGTTTTTATCTTATGCAACTTCAATTATTTTTTAGTCAAAATAAGTTAGATGAGGTAAGATGATACTTCAATAGTTTGTAACTTTATATAAATAATATAATTAACAAAATAAGTTAACCGTATTAAATTGCTCATATTATAATGATATATTGATAAAACATTTAAATAGAATAAGCAAATAATTAAAACAATCAAAATAGACTAAGATGTTGTCTTCTTGTTGAGCTGAAGAAAATCTATATATTACTTTGTTCTACTCTCTTCCATAGCCCAAAAAATATTTTAGAATTTATTTTAATAAAATATTATAAACTTAAAAAAAAATGTATTTTGATGGTATTTAATATGTAAATAGATTTGTATTTGAAATGATTTAAAACTAAATTTATTAGAAAAATGTATTTGGTTAATACAATTTACAATGAAACTAAATTTCATTCTTTTTAGAATTTTATTGAGTTATAATAGGTTTTAAAAGTATTTATGCTAATTACATAATTATCTTTTTATTTTTCTTACAGAGGTTATAATAATAAAATAAGAATAAATAGTAATAAAAGTATTAGATTATAGTTTTATTAATTAGTTATTAAATCAATAAATAAAAATATCGTATAATATTAAAAGAAAATATTAATAACAATACTAAAAAAATATTACATTACACAAATTGAAAATAAAATTGAGAGCGAGAGATTTATATAATGCAACGAAAGTAGTTTTTTCATGCTTTAGTATTTAATTTTTTTTTCAAACCCAACCAATGAATTTATAATGTAACATCTCGAATTCCATGTATTTTTCGTTTATACCCTTGATATGATAATTGTTTGCATTTTGGTCCTAAATGGCATTTTGTAAATTTGGGGACTGCATGCATACGTTGGGCGTACATATTTATAGGGTTTGAACCATATTTAAACCTCATTATAGCCTCAAAACCATTTCATTCATTAGCCTCCATCCTCCAACTCGGCCTTAGCTAACACTAATATCTTGAAAGAAGCAATCTTGACCTTGCGTGTGCATTTTGGTGTTCTTGAAGGAGGAAGCATGAAGAGGAAACCATCTTAGAATAGTGGAGCACTTTGGATCCAAAATCACATCATCATTTGACACCATTGGTGGTAAAAAGCTTTGATCTTGATGAAGTTTTACTTAGATCTTGTTTAGCCATGGATTGTGTTCTTTTTGGTCCCATAAGCTTGGTAGTATGAGTAGGGGTTACTCTAATTGATATGAGTTGTCCTTTCAGATGTTTTGGAGTGTTTAGAAGCCCTCGTTGATCATGTAGGTAATGTGGGATGTCATAATTTCTTTTTGGTAGTGAGGGTATCTATATGGTTTGATGTTAACAAGTTTAGCATTTGGTACTAGTGGAATGTGGTGTCATGGTCTCTTGGAGGGGGTAAACCAGGGGGGGTCAAAGAGTGGTTTGAATTTCTTGAGTAGTTATTCGATTGTAACTTCCTAAAAATACCACCCAAAAATTTTTGTTTGAAAACTTTACTAAACCATAATATCACATATCAAAAGATAAAAAAACACCATGAATCATGTATCTCAAAATGTCATAATAAATTTATCCAATCGAAACTAGTGTCAAGATCATATCAAAATATCAGAGTCTGTCTCCCAGGATAAGTTGTGGTGTGTGTCATGCCATCAACCCGAGCCCTTCCCTCCTAGAATAAACTGTGGTGTGTGACATGCCATCAACTCGAGCCCTTCCTTTTGCTAGCTAAAGTACCTGAAATCAAAACTGAAACTGTAAGCACAAAGCTTAATGAGCTCCCCCAAACTACCACATACCATACAATTACATATAAAGCAACTACTGGGCCTTGCCCACTGCATCAGACCGAAATCCGGAAACTGCATCAGACCGAAGTCCGGAACTAACCAGGGCCTTGCCCTCTACATCGGACTGAAGTCCAGAACTGACTGAACATAGCATAACATAATCATTACTACTAGCATAAACACATATATTGCATACTGCATCGGACCGAAGTTCGGAACACATAACACAAAGACATGCTTGAATCAAAAAGACATCAAGCACACTGAACTACTGCATTGGACCGAAGTCCGGAACTACTGCTAACTAAACGGGCCGACATTGTGGCCGTAGACCAGTTCCTACTAGAAGGAAACTCACCTCATAACGCAGGTTGTTGAGATGCTAATTCTGAAATTGTCTGACTGCTGCTCCGGAACTCCCCGGCTACAAATCCCATAAACACTAAATAAAATACTGATAACTAATCTCATGGTAAAATGACTATTTTACCCCTGGTCAAAGTTAACATCCTAATCAAAGTCAACTTCCTGGTCAAAGTCAACTTTTAGTTGACCGGACTCACCGAGTTGGGCCGCCAACTTGTCGAATCCCTATCATCCATTCTAATCCTCTACCCGTTTCTACTCGTCGAGTTTGGTAAAAACTCGACGAGTTCTTCTTCGATGCTAACATCGAGTATAACGTAATCTGACTCGCCGAGTTAGTTCTCCTTCATCATATGAACACGTCCAGTCTGTGACTCGCTGAGTTGTATGAACAACTCGTCGAGTCTGATATTCATTCACTCATCCAACTCGTAACACTAAAAGGGGAAATAATTAGGGATTACGAACCAACTCGTCGAGTCCTAAGGACGGATCAATGAGTCTCATGCATGCCATTACTATACAATCGATTCTAGTCGATTCCAGTGCATCCAATTCATAAATTTGGGCTTCTAGGGCTGGTTTTAGACGGAAAGTTTCCAACTTTACGTGCCTGCACAAGTGAATGGGGCTTAAACACCAAAATCATCCAACAATAAGCACGGATGGTTTGGAACAAGGTTATATTTGCATAAATGTAGCTAGATTGAGCTCCTAGAGTTCAATAACATCCATATCTATGGTTTCCATCCTAAGGAGAGTTCAATTCTCGAGTTTGAATCATATAACGTTCCAAGAGAAACATAAATAAGCATAAAATAGGGTTTAATGGAAGAATAAGCAAGGTGATAACTTTATTACCAGAATATGTAGCAAATGGAAGCTAGATTTTGGATCTCCTTTCTCTTTTATTGGTCTTCTTTCCTTCCTTGTCTTCTATAACTTCCAAACTAGCACACAACACCAAAGCTCAACAATGGGGACTAGGGTTTACATAGAAATCCTC